GAAGGCGTGGGGGGGGGGGCGGAAGCCGGAGGGGACGAGACAAGCTGCAGCCAGACCCTAGCGAGCGGGAGCTGCCGTCTGCCCAAAGGACAGCTCGAGATGCGTCTCTGGGCAGGCTGACACTCCGGTTCGAGGAGAAGGTCTGAGGCAACCTCCGGAGGCCGCAGCCGGGGTACGCTGGTGCCCCGGGCACAGCCCTAGCTGGAGAGAAAGCATCTGGCGACGGTTAACTCATGCCCTCGTTACTGCCAGGAGACGACTTGGAAAGTGCAACTGGTGCCAAGCGCTGCGGGGTGAAAGGCACTTCAGCCGTATTGCGCCTGCAAAGCTGGGCAGGCTCTGGCGCTTCCAGATACGGTTCCAAGTGTTGGCTTTCATCTACGTGACTTCCCAGGCACTTGTAGAACTGCCTTTTCCCGGGAGAACCATTCCATCCAGTGGGTTCATCCTGGCAGCAGATCTTCACTATCCCCGGTATATGAGAGTGCTGGGGCGGATGTTTTATGGTCCCCCGCTTACGGAACAGCCTCCCCGTGGAGATGAGACTGCTACAGCTTTGGCATCAATCTGCAAAGCAGCTAGAGCCGAGGTATTTTGGAAGGACCGGGAGCTACTGCCAATAAGTATTGACGGGCACCTTTGGTTATGGGATTGGATAATGATATGGATTCGTTTTTACTTGATTGTGCATGCACCTTTTTTTTATGTAACCATGTATTGATTATTTTATTGTGAACGGAGCCCGGCTCCAGGCAGGCCGACCTCATCAAACAAGAAGAGCCCCTCTTCTGAGGCGGCTGGGTTGTTTGTAACAGAAGGGCTGGCCGCCACCTTTAAAGCCCTTTGTAGCACAACGCTGGGATGTGTAAGGCAACAACCTGACACCACTGACTCTGTGCACGCAGTCAGGCCATGTAGAGAGCGCCTCTCACAGATGTGGGGAGGGGGCGCCAGGCAACAGGCCCTCTCGGGGTGGCCCTCTTTTTATGGAAGACTCCTCTTCCCCACGGAGGTACCGATGGCCCCTACTTTACAAGTATTTCTAAAACAGGCCAAAACAGCAGCAAGTTAAACAAACAGTGCTTTTGTACTAGTTAAAATGTTGATTTCTACTATTTGTATGCTCTGAATGCGTATTTTGGTTGTATCCTGCCCAGAGTCCACTAGGATTGGGTCAGGCTATAAACACCGTATGAATAAATAATTATTTTCTTTCATTGTTTTTTCTCAAGATTCAGTGGTGTATATATTTAATGACGATGATGGTGGTTTGTGTGTGTGCATGTGTGCGCTGGGTGTGCCATTCCAAGGGAAAGGGGATCGAAAATTTGTTTTAGTCTCTCCTTCTGAACCAAGAGACCGAAACCTGGATCCTGGTGACTGAAGGGCTGGGACTGCGGCCTTTACCTGCTGATGCTAAACGTCAGGCCCATTTGCAATAAGACCTTGCTTGTCCATGGCTGAATAGCGGACGAGTGAGCAGACCTGGGCGTTTTACTGAACTCCGGCAAGGCAGGGAGCAAGATGTTGCCGCTGAAAATCTGCTCTCTTGGATTTGGCATCCTTTATCAGCCTCAACGCCAAGGCCAGAGCCGAAGAGTGGCACTGATGTGCAGAGAAACCTTATCTATGACCAAGCTCCCTGCTGCCCAGTTGGGCCACAGGAACAAGATGGGGACCCTACTGGAGTACCAGCTGACTTCTGCCCAGTGGGATCTCTGCCCAAACTGCTGGACACAATCACGTGGCTGGTGCTGGAGTCTCCATACTTGGTGGTGCTGGGTAATTCAATTTCCATATCCCGGTCTAGGTCTGAGCGAGCTAAGGATTTCATGGTCTCCATGGCCAACATAAAGCCAGGTAATCTCTGGTCCCGCACACCCAGGCAGTTGTAAGTTGGACCTTGTCTTCTGTCTTGGAGCAGTGGTGTGATGCTCACTGTGGTCAGATCGTTCAGATAATACCGACTGCCACCTGGAACTTTGCTAGGAGCACAGACCAATTCAGATGGTCCGCCCCAAGTGTCTCACAGATCCAGATGGATTTTGGTGGGGAATTTCACAGCAATTTAGTAGTAGCTCTACTGACTGCCTCCTTAGCCACTGGCCATAGGAGGTAGCCCAGGCTCTCAAGGGGATTGCTCCTGAGAGGCTTCTTTCTGGGCACCGATCTTGGATGGCTTTTTGGTCTACCTTCTCCCTGCTGCACAATATTTACATGAAGCCACTGGGAAATGCCATCCATTAGTTCAAGGTGTAGTACCATATGCTGATGATATCCAGCTATTCACTGCCACCATAAGCTGTGCTGGTGATGTGTAGAACCTTATCCTGGTAACAGGAGGCTCTAGAACAGGCTGAAACTGGAACTACTGTCTTATCTCTGAGACTGACAGTCACCTCCAGGGTTGTCTCTTGATGGGACAGAGCACTGTCCTCGAGGGAGGAGATCTGCCACTTGTCAATCCTTCTAGACTCTTAGCTACTTCTGGATTGAAAGGTGGATGCCCTGGCCGGGAGGGCTTTTGCTCCGCTCTGGCTGGCGTATCAGTTGTAGCCTTACCTGGAGTGTGAGGATCTGACAGTGTGACTCATGTCATTCGACTACTGCAATGTGCCCTGCGTGCCTTTGAAGGCCATCTAGAAACTACAGTTGGCTTGAAATGCAATGGTCCATTTCCTGGCAGGAGTTACACGCCAGGACGCTCCGTTGGGTGTCAATAAGTTTCCAGGTGCAATTCAAAATGCTGGTTTTGACCTATAAAGCCCTTTATCTCTTGGTGCCCAGGAACCTGCAGGATTACCTTCTTCAACCAGAACTGGCCCGGGTACGTTCATCCTGGGAGAAGCTCTGGTTGTACCGCACTCATAAAGGGAGGGAAGTTCAGGCCAGCCTGACGGAAGAGTTTCCCTTCAGAAGTGACCCTGCC